GAAAATGTTATAAGAAACTAAACTTGACAAGAGCAATGTCAATGGAGAAGTGGGATCAAAGGTCTAATTAGACTGGGTTCAGTGAAAGGGGCTAGGGATGTAACTCAGTGGTAAAGCGCCTGCCTAGCATGCCCAAGTCCCTGGGTTCAATCCCCAGCACCATAAAACAAAACAAACAAACAAAAAATCAATGAGAGGAAGGGAAGAGGGTGAGTACAGCGACCTCTAGAGTTTTGTTGTAAAGGAAAGCAGAGACTAATGGTCATCAGGGGCTGGGACCATTTTGTTTGTTTTGTTGCATCTTTGTTTTGTTTTGCTCTGTTGTAGGGTGGGGAATGTCAGAGCATGCTTGCTAATGAAATGACCCACAGATGAGAGCATGTTTTTGAAGTTATGTCCTTGGATAGTTGAGGGAGATAAGGACCTGTGACACTTGGAAGAATTGCCCAGCAAGACAGTTCATTCATAGGAGCAGAAAATAAATTGTAATGCACGCACAAGTACACTTTAGATGTGATGGAACGGGCATGTTTTCTGATTGCTTTTCTTTGTTCTCAGTGAAATGGGCAACAAGGTTATCCATTGAGAATTGAGGAACAAGTGGGAAGAAATATTAGATGAGGAAAAGGAGAATCTGTGAGTGGTGGTTGTCATGGGCAGCAGGAGAGTCAATGATCCAGAAAAGTAGTTTCCAAACTGTGACATGGGGACTCACAGGACAAGAATCACCTGAGAGGTTGTCAGGAATGCACACCCCAAGGCCCCACTCCAGACCTTCTGAATGAGAAACCTTGAGGCCAAGGCCTTCAATCTGCACATTAACAAGCCTTCTAGATGACTGTGATATACACTTGAATTTGAGTATCACTAGTCTAGAAAAATGTGATAGAGTAAGGTGTGACTGCCAGGAAGTGTTCAGTGTTCCTGAGGCTAGTGCTCACAAATTTATAGAATTCCAAGTCAGGGCTGTCCATCCAAGCCCATCCTGCTTATTTGTAGCCCTTCGGTGATTAGATTAAGAAGGGATTATACATGTACACACATATACACATACATAAATACACACATTTATATATATCATACCTACATGTATATAATAATGTGTGTGTGTGTGTGGGTGTGGGTGTGGGTGTGGGTGTGTGTGTATTCCTGTTATAGCTAAGGTGACCAGAGGATAAGTCTGCAGGGAAGGCCTTCTAGTGATGACTTCCTCAATCTTAAAAAAGAACCCAGGCTAGGCCTGGTAGCACACACCTGTAATTCCGGCTGCTCAGGAGGCTGAGGCAGGAGGATTTTGAGTTCAAAGCCAGCCTCAGCAACTATGTGAGTACCTAAACAACTTAGTGAGACCCCGTCTCAATATATATAAAAGGCCGGGGATGTGGCTCAGAGGTTAAGTGTCCTTGGGTTTAATCCACAGTACCCAAAAAAGGTAAGAATAGAGACCAAGGAAGAACTAGATCCCTTATTCTGCTGGGTTTTTGATAGGAGGATGTGGTCCTGGAACTGATATCCTGCAGACAAGGCCGAGAGGTAAGGAGGGCAGAGTGGGCGGATGGAAGGCCCTAGGGTTGCTGAAGATGTTGAACCACTGGATTTCCTGGCTCAGAGCTTCCCCACTTCTGAGTGTTTAGCCTCATCATCCTAATCTGTTAAATAATGATAACAGTAACTTTCTGCCATGGTTGTTATGAACACTGAGAAAAAAATCCTCTCATTGAAAATAGCTTATGCCATTGTAAAGCCCTATGCAAATGCAAATTACAAATGTAATCTCCAGTAATGGATTTGTATTTTGATTCAAATTATATACATTTTGTTTACATACCAACTTCCCAAAAAGTGAAGTGTAGTAATGGTGAAGGCCACAAAGCATTTGGGACTTCCTTAGATGCTCCAGTGTCAAGTCATCTGTTTTTTGGGCTCATTCTTCAGGATGCCAGCGCAGCCGGGGGCCTCACAGACAGGTGTGCTGGAGTAAGCCCAGGTGAGTTTTGCTCACCTGGGCAGCAGGAGAGTCAATGATCCAGAAAAGTAGTTTTGCACACCAGGAGCGGTCTGCAGCCAGCTAGGCAAAACAGAGGCAGGAAGCAGGTGCAAAAGATCAGATCACGTGACCCAGAGCACTCTCACCCCAATATCCATTTCTCGCCTCTTTATGAAATTCATTGCCTCTTTCAACCCTTTAAGATGACAAAGTTCATGTTGCTTGAGTTCCCCTCCCATAGCAAGCAGCACCCCTTTACCCTAGCATGCATCCATCCTCCATGAGGCATGGATGTGCCCTTGGCCCTCCATGTGGAGTTCTTGTATACCCCAACCAGTGTTCATTTCCCCATGGGATCATTTAATGTGCACTCCCCTCCCCTTGCCAATTGGTGCCTTTGGAGCCTGTCCCTGGACCATCTCATTCCTTGCCCATTCAGCTGCAAGAGAAGTTTCTTTCTGCACTTACCGCTGAGGCTCACTTTCAAAACTCCAGTTAGCCTGATCCATTGTCCTCAAACTCCACTCACCGATGTCAGCACATAAGCACTATGCATGCATCGGGCCCTGAAAGAAGCAATGCTTTGTGGCTTATACCTTAAACTTTCCCCTGGACAGGTCACACTTAGCTGAGGGACTCTCTAGTTGACACTTAAGCTGCTGGCATGATGGCCCTTATGTATCATTTTACTCCTTCCCTGACCACTTTGTGCTTGGTGCTGAGCATTGTTGGTTCTGCCTCTGCCCCGGTGAGAAGCCTCACTGAAGATGGCATCAGGAGAGTCTTGGTGAGGATACCCAGGGAAAGAGACATTATAATTCCATGTGTGGCAGGGAGAGTGGGGAGACGGAGAGGGAGAGACCAGATTGCATGTGACACCTGTGATAAAAAGGTCACAGGGAAAGAATAAAACAATCCACTAAAGGAACAGAGGAAACAAGCCATGCAGAAAAGGCAGGTGACCCATGGACTGTTGGAAATGTGGCTTCAGATTATCATGATTGACTACCCGCACCTGTGTGCAAAGTGCCAGTTGGAACAGTTGGAGACACCTGGATGTGACAGCTGCCTACATCCAGACACCCGCAGGGACCATTCACTGGAGATGCTCAGCAGATCAACTTACTCTTCAACAGAATTGGGTGTCCTGTGGAATTAGGGATGGACAGGTCCCTCAGAAGGGCCATACCACCTCATGTTAGGTCTCTTTCCACACTGGACTAGTGTTTAGGTTCTGTGCTCTTCTCCAGCACTGGGCCTCTTGAGGACAGAGGCGGGCTTCGTTCAAGGTACTACCTAGGTATGAGCAAAGCCTGGTGCAGGTCCATTCTAATAGTCCATACTGTTGAAGGTCTGGACTGGGCTGAACTAACTTTTTTCTGTAAAGGGCCCAAGAGTAAATATTTTGACTTGGTGGGCTGAAGGTCTCCTTTGTGGTGCAGTTTCAACTGTGGAAGCAACCTCAGATAATACCTAGCAAAGCAGCGAGGCTGTGTTCTGATAATACATGATTTTATGGATATTGATGTTTGATTTCACATAGTTTCCACAAGTCATCAAATATTCTTCATTTGATTTTTTTTCAACTATTTAAAAATATGAAAGCCATTCTTAATTGTGGGACTGTACGGAAACAGGGCCCTTGGCCCAGATTTAACCTGCGGCATACTGGCCTCTAGTCAGAAGCATCAAACAAGGCCCATTTCCTGTTTCTAGTGGGGATTAAACATGAGTCTTCCTCATGGTCACTTCCTGGTCTCTAAATAAACATTGGGATGTGCAGCACCCTAGTAGCTGGGTCACCCCATACCTCCCTGGAACAAGTGCAGGCGTGGGCACACAGACAGTGCTATCCAACACGAGGCCATTGTTCTGGACACCAGAGTGTGAGGTGGGCAGCCTCCGGGTTGCCATGGTAACAGCAGATGCACCTTTAGGAACGTTGCTGCTTCTAAGAGAAGGGATCAGATTGTCAGCAGCTTGAGGCTGATTTATCTTTCTATCTTTTTCTTCCGTATCTCTCCACAGCACTTTAGATTAGGGTGGGAGACCAAAAATTAGTGCAAAACTGGGCAAGGACAGATAACAAATGACAAGAAAAGCATTTCTAACTTTAGCAGTGCTTCCTCTTCCTCTTGAACTTTTACATTTTTTAGTGCATTTAAATTTGTCAGGTTCTTTCACACACTCGAGTTCGTTTTATCTGCATCACCCCATAAGGGAAACTTGGTAGAGGGAGGTTTGGGGATTTGCTTACTGTCACATGGCCTTTAAGTGGCAGAGCCAAGATCACAGCCAGGCATTTTTATCCAAAATGCATTTGGTAGAGCAAATTTGAGTGCACCAAGCGGAAGGCACTGTGAAATAAAGATGAATAAGTTGTGGTTCCTGTCCTTCAGGTGACTCCATCTAGTGCTGTGGTTCCCAAACCTGCTTTAGCACTGACTCCCCTGGGAAATCTGTCGTGAAGATTCTCAGGCCCAGGTCTGATGGATTCAAACTGGGTCTCCAGTTGCAGCAAATACCCTAGAGCAAAGACCTCAGACTAAGTTCCCTCTCATATCTGCCCACTTTGAGAGATCCAGGCTGGGCAACGACTGACCCCAGACCACAGAGGAAGCTCCAGGCTGGTTGGAGCAATTCTAGAATAGAACTAAGCATCAGGGTCTATTAGGAAACACCAAGGAGTCTCCAGTCCAACCTGCATACATAGGAACCTCTCATTCCCGAGGTGGCATTCCTACTGACCAAGTCTCATACCCAGTTGGAATTTGGCACTATAGCTCAGGAAAGTAAGAAAAACTGATATTTGAAACAAGAAGCCTCAGGTTTAGGCAACCCTGGAAATATCCATCTGTATTCATTTAAGTCTGCCCTTGGCCTTGGTTATGTGGCGTAGCTTACAGTGTTCTAGGTCTGGTAGATGCTGGCATCACCTTTGGAAAACATGCTCCAGAGTGTCAGGTGCCCAGACATCTTGCAAGATGAAGACTGGCCTTTCTTCTTCCTGCAGGCAGTGTTTGCAGAGAGCTTGCTCCATGAAGAGAGACAGCGTGAAATTCACAGTCAGGTATTTAAAATGTTATGTAGGCTTTGGTTTCCCGGTACATTTTGTTGACAAGTAATATTTGGGGTCCAGCTGTAAGTTTGCAACCTGTCTTCCCCCCAACCCAAGGCAAATCTTTTCTGTCCTTACTTGAGAGTTCTCATGGTAGAGGATTCTGCCTCGTTTCTATAGTTTCTTATTTATATTAGATGTGGTTTTAATTTAATACTTAGATTGTACTAGCCGATACCTTCAAATGGGCTTGGAATTATTTATTTTGCTTTGGATGAATCTGTCTTCTGAAATGGATATGAAGCCCCTCCCTGGTTTGGGATTTATAGGCTGGCTGCTCTAGGTTCACAAAGCTTTTCCATTAAAAGTCTCTCTCGTCTGCCCATATTTATTGCTAGAGTCACTGTTTGCCCAGAAGCAACTCTCTGCTGCATCTTCTGGGAAATGAAATTTATGTCCCCTGGCACGGATGGGGTGACATCACTGAAGTGCTGTTTACATCTCTCAGTGGCACAGCCCTAAGCTCAGATGGATGGTAAAGGTGGGGGTGGGGGAGGGAATGGGGTAGGTTTATATAAATAAGTGCTGTCTACCTCTCGGCTGCCTTCGCCTCCCTTCATCATCCCCTCCACCACTCACATTGACAATACCATGATATATTAATGGAAGTTCTGAAAATGGATGCCCCTCAAATTAGTAAGGAGGAGTTAGGGTCAGTAGTGGTGGAGGGGGGCATCTGCTTGAAGGGATGCCTGTCGTTTGTGGCAGAGCCCCTTCTGATGAACCCTAGCTCCCTCCTCTGCAGGGCCCTGGGCCTCATGGGGGTTGAGTGCAACCCTTCCCCAGACCCCCTTTCCTCCTCCCATACGTGAAGGTCGCCCCCCAGGCTCCAACGCAAGCCGGCCCAGGGCAGAGAGACAGAAAATGCCTGGGCAGCCGTTTTCTGGATGCATTTGGCCTCCACCCACTTTCTTCTATTTTCCCATCCTGTCAGCTTTTCCCCTGGGTCTATTTTCTCCAAGGAGTGTGGGTACCATCTCTCCTTCCTCACTTTACATTCCCTCCTCCTTTTGTTCCTGGGTTGGCCAACGGTGGTCTCCCAGGTGCCCAGCTCAGTGGACAGCTCTGGGCCTGGGCTGGCTTTATGAGCATGGCGTAGTCACACAGGGCTCCACTCGGAAGGGCGCTGTGGAGGGTCTCAAGCTCCACTGTGGCTGTCTTGAAATTCTTCACAATCGGTGAACAAGGCATTCTGCCTTCCCGGTTTGCACGGGGCCTCTCAGATTAGGCAGCTGATGGTGTTTGAGTCTTTTAAAAATGTCACTTCTCTAACAGACGGTATCCATTGTGTATCCCAACGCCTATCCACCCCGTCTCCTTGGAGGGCTCCTTGATCTCATGCCCTTCCTTGGGCACAGAGGATGAAAAGAATTGGTAGAAACAGTGATGAAATCTCACGACTTTGTGTCAGGGATTGATCCAGGGGTGACCAGATGGCCTAGATCTCATATGAGAAAGGAGAGTTGGAGCCTATTCTAGAGGAAGATTTTGCATTTCTGGAAAAAAATGGCCAGACCCGGGTGGCCTGCTCCTTGTCCTTTTGTCCCCTCCTTGACTCTTCCTGCTGTGGATGTGGACACAATTCCTGGAGGTATTGCAGCTTTGTGTGTGTGTGTGTGTGACACAAAGGGAAAATCTAGCATAGTATGGATGGAACAGAGAAGGAGGTGGGTCTCTGACGGCTTTGCTGAGTACTGCTCCAGTTTAGACCACCTCTCCCTGAACTTCATGTCCCACACCAAATAACAACATCAAAACCTCTTCTTCTTCTTCTTCTTTTTTTTTTTTAAATCATTGCTGTGACATTTCTCTTTTCTAATTACGGTTAAGTGTTTTGTAACTGCTCTGATTTCTCAGCAACATTTAAGGCAGCGTTGTCTGTTCTTCCACCTAAAACACCCTTTCCTTGGCACTGGTGACACAATCTGTGGGCTCTTCTCGTCACTGCTTCTCATAGTCCTTCTCCTTGGCTCAGTCCTTGGTGCACTCTCCCACAGGACTTAGCAACTGGTTCTTTTATTGATCACTGGGTATTTACCGAGTCCTCCTGTGTATTGGGCTTTATACTGAGTGTGTCAGGTGGAGATGGCTGAGGGCCCCGTTCACACCTCCACAGCTCCCACTGCTGTCCCCTGACCTCTGGGGACAGTCTCATTTACGACCTTAGGGCTAGCACTTGGAGGGCTTCATTCCAATGCAGATTTCACAGGGATGACCTGAACTAATCAACAGGCAACAGATCCCCCTGGAGGGGAAGAAAGAAGAGACCTAACTGTCCTCAGTGAGTCCCCCAAGAAGTCATCTTTACTCTGCAGTCCCCCACCAAGCCACGAAAGAAAGAAAAGAGGGGTCTCCCTTTCTCCTTTAGTTTCAATCTGCTCTTTCTGCACCAGTAAATCATATTAGGGGATTCTACAGGAGGGCGTTCCTTTACAGGACCCTGCTGGATATGGGAATTTTCTTTAATTTCTCTTACAGGGTATTGAAAGAGTCCATCCGGTCTCAAGATTGCTGTACATCAGTGCTGCCACCCACTCACTCACCCGCTGTGTCAGATCGATGAGAGCCACTTGGAATGAGAGTGTGTCTGAGGTCCCCAGGCTGCTCTGGAAGGAAGACGTGCTGCATTGATGTCAGCAATTTTTTCAAATTGGGCTGCATTGGGGAATTGTGTAAAATGAAGGCGTTTAAAGAAAAACAGCCACTCACTAATCCCACGGATGAGGAGTTAACCTTAGGATATAATCCAAACAGCAGAAAATCATTTACCTGTGAAGATGCTTGGTGTTTCTTTAGGATAACAAAGTACTGGGAGATATCTTATTTTTGTGTCTTAGGTTAAAGGAGAAACACATGATTATCTTGCTGGATGCTAAAATAGCATTTATTCAACTTCAGTAGCTGTTCCTAGTAAACGTTTTTAGAAAGCCAGGAATAAAAGGATAGCCCTTAATTTATGAAGAATATAGGAACACACACACACGCACGCACATACACATACATACACACACACACACACACACACACACACCATTAAGCACAAAAGGCAACAGAGGAAACCTTGTCATCCAGTTTGGTAAAACACTGAATAGACCCTGAGATTTGAGACAAGTTATGTGAGTGAGGAACTTTCCTGGGGTGAGTAGTTGGAAGAATGAGTCAGCAAATGTAAGAACCATCACAGGCATAATGATTAACTGTCCATTAAAAATTAAAAACCCTTCTATCAAGTAAGATAATTAATACTTAGTAAATCAAAATCAGTTCAAAAAAAAATCCCTGGAGAACAAAATCTGCAAATTTCAAATAAAGATGGACTTGACTGTTGTTGATTTTTCCTTTTGCTTCCAAGTCTCATGTAGGTCTGATGTTTGTTAACATTTTTTTTTTTAAATTTTTTGCAGCGGGGCGGGGGCTAGGGATTGGACTGAGGAGCACTGGACCACTGAGCCACATCCTCAGTGCTATTTTGGTATTTGATTTAGAGACAGGGTCTCACTGAGTTGCTTAGTGCTTCACTTTTGTGGAGGCTGGTTTTGAACTCACAATCCTCCTACCTCAGCCTCCAGAGCCGGTGGGATTACAGGTGTGCACCACCGCCCAGTTTGTTAAGATTTCCTTTGTCCTGATTCTTGAGGGTCAGGTGCATCTCTGCGGTTTGAACCCAAGGCAAGTGCCTGACTTGTTGCCTCCTCGTTCCATCCTTGTGGTTCTTCTCAGCAATATTCTTAGAGTTTTGATTAGTGTAACATGGCGAAAGAAGAAGGAGAAATGAGGCAGAACTCAAAAAGCAAACCTATGAATTGTAAGTAACGTGGTGGAGAGGCAAGTACTGATGCCAGCCTCCATCGTGTGACCTCGGGCAAGTCATGTAACCCCTCAGCTGAAAACCAGGGATCATGAGAAATGGCCACCTCTTAAAGTGATAGCAAGGTTTAAATGAGTGCATACATGCGAGGGTCTTGGATGCCTGGCAAAGGGAGCATGACATAGTCTGTTATGATGCTCCCCTTAGACAGTCCAGGAGGAACAAATGAACATAAAACACCAACAGATTTCCTACCCACCAGCAATATCCAACTAGTAAACACAATGCAGAACGTGTAATGACTAAAATTATTAATGACCCAGAATACATGTAACAAGATGCATCAGAGACTTGTGTGGAGAAACTATACTACTTTATTGACTACTGGAAAGAACCCAACCAAAGCCAGTGACATAGGTTTTTGATAGGAACACTCAACACTGTGAAGAGACAAAGGTTCTCCCCTAAATTCATCTATATTCACTATAAACCCAATCAAAACTACAATGGAAGTTTCCAATCATTTTGGTGGATTCTAAGCCTCATCTACTATGCACGGGTAGTCAAGAAAATCTGCTGCAGCAAGATATCAAATATATTACAAATTTATGGTAATTAAAACAGTGTGGTGCTGGCACGACAGCAGGGTAACTAAAAAGAGACTCAGAAACATTTATGTATGGAAATTATCTGTTAGCTATGGGAATTAGCATATGCTAGAATTATCCTTTCAAGTCAGTGGGAAAAGGTTAACAAGTCAATGTATTGCACAGAAAAAAAATTTGCTTTCCTTTTGCAAAAAGAAAATTAGTGACCCATCTTACACCACACCCTGAAATAAATTCCTAATGATTAAGCGCCTAAATGTAAAAGTATAAGGCATGAAAGGACCATCAGAAAATAAAGAAGAATTTCATTTTCCACAATTTATGAAACGGTGACTGACATAGAGAAAGCACTTTACAAATATATGCTGCATGAATAAATAAATAAATCTAGAAGTGAGAAAGGTGTTTCTAAAGAAAATACCAAACCCCAAAGTCATACAGTAAAAGGCTGACTGATTGGACAATGCAAACTTCAGTGATTTTGAATAAAAGAAACCTGCAAAGTTAATTTTCAAGCCACAGTCTGGGGGAAAAAAGCACTTTTGGCATTATCTAATGTTAAAAGAACTTTTACACAATCTTACTTGCAGCACTCCTACACAGTGATAAGGAGAAGAGAACAGATTAGAGAAAAAATAGGTTATTTAGAGAAGAAATGTAAATATTTAATAAACTTATGAAAAGACCTTCAACCTCAGCAATCAGAGACATGCAAATGAAAACAAGATAACACTAGCAACCCAAGATTGATAGGATTGTTGTGATGGAGGGCAGAGGGAAATGAATATTCTCCGACAGTGTTGATGGGAGTTTAAATTGCTATAGTCTTCAGGAAAAGGTGCAAGGGGAGTCGTGTGGCTTTAATATCCAAATTAAAACTGTTTACCCTAGCAATTCCACTGCAGGAATTCAACCTACAGAAATACAACCTAACTACATAAATACGTGTGTATGCACGCACAAGTAAGTTTACTTAAAATATTATAAAACTGGAAATAATTCAAAGAGTCATCAATAGGAGAGGCATTTAATACAGGATGTGTCTCTTAGTCTATTAAATGTAACCCAATGATTAAAAAGAATGAAGATGTGTATGTACTGATGGGGAAAATTCTAAAAGATATACTGAGAGTGAACAAAACGAATTTTAGAAAAATCGTCATTTTGTTTATTCTGCTCAGTGTTGGATTCTCAGTGCCCACGCTGTGTTGCACTTGGATGACTCAAAAATGTTTGTTGAGTGACAATGGGATCCTATTTATTGAATGGAATTACAGCAAACTCTTAATATCTTTCATAGTCCTAACCTCAGGTTTGGGGGGCAGTACAGGTTTTGGGGTACCATATGGAAAAACAATGACACTGGGTCCAAATCCTGGTTGTCTCATACTGATTGATGGCTTTGAGCAAGTTATTGGTTATTGAGAGCAGAGGGAGATGGATATTTCCCTTCTCTAAGACTCACGTCCCTTGTCAGCAGCTGAGAATAGCACATCCCTCCTCTTGAGGATGCTTTGAAAAATCAAAAGGGAAGGAGTGTGTTCGTCCCTTTGGAACACCTGCATCACCCAATGTGTCCCCGATACTTTGGAAGTGCTCCTTGTTATTAATGCAATCTTCCTCTATTTTCTCCATAAACCTATTGGTTCCCTAGGGACGTTTTTTCATAAACTCAAAGACAACATGTTTGGATTTTTCTGAACTTCACTGTGGTCCTCTGTGGAAGCTTTTGTGGAATAATAGCCCCCCATCAGTAGAGCCTTGGTTGTCTTTGCGCTGACTTTTCTCCCATCCCCTCATCCTTCAGTCCAACATATGAGAAGAGCCTAAAATAAGGATTTGTTTTTAGTATGTATTTAATAAGCACCTATTATGCATCACCACTAAAAATATAATGATGCACATACTCCCAGCCTTCATGAGGCTTATAGTTGCCAATGGAGAATGAGAGTTAAACAGGCAGTAACAATAGAGAACGTCAAGTGGGCTGGAGATATAGCTCAGAGGGGGTGGGGGTGGTACAGGAAGTCATGACAACACCCAGAAAGGCTTCTGACTTAGGTTGGGACATCAGAAGAGAGGAGGTCCAATCTAACTTTGAGAGTTGATTAGGAGCTAAAGGGGCAAGGAAGAGCTAAGGAGAGAGAGAAGGACGTTCCAGATGGAGATAAGTATTCACGAAAAACTCACTCGAGAAGGCAAAAGAATTGCAGTAGGGTTGGCGCTCTCAAGAGGCAAGTGTGGCGTAGTAAGGAATAAAGGTAGAAAGGTAGGCAGGGGACAGATCATGAGGGCTTTGTGAACTGTGCTTAGGAGTTTGGAATTGTTCCTGAGAGCAACAAAGAGCCTTGAGGCAGGAGAATGCCTAGATTGGGCCAGCGTTTTGGAAAGGTGAATCCAGCTGTCCTATGAAGAATGAAAATAGGGGAGTTTCCTTGGGGAAGAGTTTGTTCTGATGATCCAGAAGGAGATGATGTTGGCCTGGATTAGGCTGGTGGGGGGCGGGGATGTTGGTGCATTTTAGAGATGTCCAGTAGGTATCATCAGTGGAACCTGCTGACTGATGAGATGCCGGAGGTGGAAGAGGGAATAGCATCGTGGGTGATATCCAGGTCGGCAACTTGTTCGTTCAGTTTTTCTGTATAGTAAACATGTATCTAGCAACGTTGCTGAACTTTCTTTGTCGCTCTAAAGTTGCACTGTGTATTTGCTCAGATTTTCCTACATGGATGATTATATTGACTGCAAATGAGGGAAGTTTAGGCCCTACCTTTTAGTTTTTTACTTTTGTTGTTTTAGTTTTGTTGATGCAGGATCAGTCCATGACCAGTAAGAAAAAGAAAATGCTCTTGGGGTTTCAAGCAGAGAAACGCAATAGAGGGGATTAGGTGCTCCCCAAACTGGTGGGAGGGTGAGAGTAGCGAAAGTCAGGAAAAACTGCCACCGGCTGACAGGGTCACCACTACATCTGTGGCCCATGGAATCAGGAAGCAGGTCAGGAACCCAGGTCAGGAAAGTGCCACTGCTGACAGCAGCTGACCTACTCAGTGAAGGTGGCAACTGAAGGGCTCTTTGAGAATGTCGTAATCCTCATTCCCACCCAAGAACAAATATCTGCGAGGCACTGCCGGAGAGTGACATGGTTTGCTCCCCGCTCCCTCCCATCTCCAAATATTAAACAAGTGCATCTCATGGGCTGAGGCTAATGGAGTTCAGAACCCTGAAGGTAAAGGGGCTTTCAACCCCTGTGATGAAGCTCAGGGAGTAACAGAAATAAAAGCTGGTTGCAAAACCAACCAAACAAACAAAACTTTAATTTTTCTAGGCCTATTCGTCTGTGAGCTCAAAATGAGCGAAATTCTACAGGGCTTTTCCCACCACTCTCTTCCAGGCACACTAAGCTCTCTAGAAGATGTTCACGACGACCTGTAATTTTCCAAGTGTACTTCCATGCCTTTGCACTTGTGCCATTCAAAAGTTCTCTTTCTTTCTCCTGGGAGACTCTTTCCATTCCTTCACCACCCATGGCCTCCCTGCTCCCACACGGCACCAGGCACAATCGACCTCTATCTCCCCCATATTTCTGCTGAACTCCGTTTGCAGTTCTTATTATAATAGCTCGTCCCACTGATTTTTAACTTTAGTCAAAGTGTGCCTCTCTCCCAGTGGATCCTAAGGTAAGGGACTAAGGCTGATTTTTAGGTTGCTGCCCCAGGTACCTACTGAAGCGCTTAGAACATAATAGGTGCTCACCAAAGATTTCCTAACTGTGTAAAGGACTATGTTCTACAAGGTCACTTGAGTAAGCCCCTGAGGTCATACAAAGACCAGTGACCTTCAGGAACAGTCATGCCACTTGTTCAGTCATATCACTTAATAGAATATTAGGATAAAAATTCATGTGAATGAATTGCCTATTAATGCCGGCTTCAAGTTCTAAATTCCAATTTTTAATTTATGTCCACTTTTTCTTCCTTTGCTAAGCTTCTGTCTACTGTCCTTATTTCTTAAACTTGTGGACTTACCACCTTTTAAAATATAACTCCCCGGCAACATCCTGATTGACCCCATCGTATCAATTTAATGCAAAGACCACTTAAGCGACTGGGAAAATACGGGTCACTACATGCGGCTGACAGTAACACTAATGTGACATGGAAGCAGGGGAGGAGGATATCTTAATAAGTAATTACTCCTATAGAACCCGTGAAGTCTAAAGCTCAGAGTGTCTTCAGTGAGCCAATCTTTTGCTTATACAAAAACAGATATAGAAAATTCCCCACCATTCCCTGGCACTGTGAAAAATTAGTTAGCAAGCTCATCTAGCAAGTTCTTTCTTCTGGACAGGAAAAATCTCTATATCCAAACCTCTGAGACTTCCTAGCACCTGGTGCAGTGTTAGGTGCATAATCAGTAACTAAGCAAATGTTTTAAATTGGGTAGTTTGGGTAGTGTTTTCCCTAAGACAACCAGGAAAAGGTTTGTCTTCTTTGTAGCCTGCATGCTGTCTCACCCAGCATTCATTCCTAACCTCATCTTCTCTGGCTCACCTAACTATGAAGCTCAGGGAAACTAAGGACTTTCCCTGCACTTGAAATGACTGGATGACAGTTTGGCCAGTGAGCGGTAAGCAGAATCCTGGAGAAGGTTTCTGTGGCGCTTCACTTTCCTCATACAAGAGGCAATAGAGGTAGGTGTTTTCCTTGCCTTTTCTCTTTCCTGGGGGTGCCTGTTTTGGCTGCACCCACATCAGTCTTCCTGTGCTCCTGAGAGGAGCCTAGAGATTCAGAGATACTGGTCCTGATACTGTTGAGCTGCCCCACTGTCACCAGCACCAGCTGCCGCCTGACTTCTTGCTATGTGAAAGAAACAACGTCCTCTTAGTTTAAGCCACTAAATATCTCTTGCTTGCTCCTCTGTGCTCCTCTAATATTTGCTTTGTAGAAAATAGCTGCAGAAATTTTGTAAGGTCATCTCCCTAACCATGAAGGACACAGGTCTGTGGATCCAATACAACCATTACCAGAATAACTATTTTATAAGTTTAGTTCTGTGATATTTTTCCTGTCACCACGTCAGTCTATAAGGAAATGAAAAGGATTGTTTTAACGTATATATAACCTTTAATAACAAGGGAGACCCGCGGCCACTGTAGTCCTATTCAGGGTGTTTATGGATTTTGGTTTTGTTGCCTAGAATTGAGGAAACTCTAATTCACACAAAAGGAGGATTGAGACTATCAGAGGCTGTCGCTCTGCAATTTCAGGTCAGAAATGGCTTCCCTTTACAGTGGAGTCAATAACAGCACGGAAGACCTCTTATCATTCCTCAGCTGGCAAATGTCGAGTGTGAAGGGAGGGAGTCAATAAACAGATTCTTCAACCAAGTAAATCTTCATTGTGCACAGGAAAATACAGTGCAGTCCAGATCCTAGAGGCAAACTTTGTGAGTTCATGTCCTGGGACTACAACTTGCATACTAAACACCTCTTGCCTTGGTGTTCTCATCTATAAGATGGGCACATTAATAGTGACTAACTTACAGTGTTTTCGGGTGGTTTAAATGACTCAATCATGGTAAGGTTTAAGAACATTTCTGGTCACACTATAACAAAAGTTCACAATTATGAGATATCCAGTGATGTCCCAGGTCCCCCATTGGCAGTCTGGTAAGATAACGACTCCAAAATTTAAAATAGACACAAATTTATTTTGCTTGGAACACGGCATACATATTTTACACATAACATCTTTGCTAACCAATTATCCAGAATTAACCCAGAAGTTTTGCTTTGCCAAGGCGAGCTGATTCAGCCTTTAAAAGGAAGAGAGAAGCATTCAAACAGTAAGTTCACAAATATGCATCACGTGACACATTACAAAGCATCCCATTATTATTTTAAAATTATGATTGCACTGTGTTCACACAAAAGCTAAGAAAAAAGTGTACTCTACCTGGCTTTTAATTTCATGGGCCTCTGCATGCTATATGTGATACACATGTGTACAATTTTATATAAATAGACATAAAAGTTCTGCATTGAAGGATGACAATAATAATAGAGAAAAGACCAGCATGGAGCTACATCATTCTGACTCAATGAACATTTACTAAATAATTATGGCAGAAGCCTGTGAAACTGGAAATACAATTTAATATTTTACATGTGTATGTTAATATATACTGGTTCTCTCTAGCATGTAAATATTTGTTGTATGAAATATTTAACTGTGAAAAAAATTTACTTGAAGAATTTTAAATTGTGGGACAAAATTATAAAGGAATTTGAATCAAATATTGGTATGTTTGTAAAGCATCCCTGTATAAGCACATGAGTCCATTGATCAGAGCTTTGAAATCACTCCAATAATTATCCCAAAGGTCCCTTTTAAAATTTGCAATTTGGTTTTGGATAGGTTGATCCATGAGTGCTGTGACCCACCTATCTTAGTCATTCATCCAGTTATAGTGGCTCTTGTTTCTTTATAAGGTGAGTTTATCTGAAAAAAAAATAGTAAGATGATCTTACTTTAACACGTTCCACAGAAGGTGGTTCCATAGCATGGGGCTTTTTTTGTACCAAGAATTGAACCCAGGGGTGCTTAACCACTGAGCCACATCCCCAGCCCTGTTTATTTTTTAATTTTGAGACAGGGCCTTGCTAAGTTGCTTAGGGCCTTGCTAAATTGATGAAGCTGGCTTTGAACTTGCAACCTATCTGACTCAGCCTCCTGAGTCGCTGGAATTACAGAAGCTCATGTGAACCACCGAATCTGGGAATTAAAACATTTTTGCCAACAATAACTGTCAATTCCATTCACAATGGTTTTAAAATAATGTGATGCATGACATTAATTAGCATGCACTACATGGTGTTTAGAAAGATGTGCGCTGGAGTTAGTTAATTCACTCTTTAAACAACCTCGGAAGGGTCTAGGATTTTTCCATGCTTCTGCCTGGCCAACTTCATCAGGTCAATCATTTTCCCTCCTGACCACAAAATGGCTGCCAGGGCTCTGGTGATTATTTCTCTGTGAAAACATGTTCAAAGCCAGAAAAGAGTCCTCTGTAGTCCTTGTAGTTCTCTTGAGAGCTGGAAAGAAATTCTTCCACTCAGCTACTCAGGATGCTGAGGCAAGAGGATTACAAGTTTGAGGTCAGACTGGGCAACTTCGTGAGCCCTTGTCTCAAAAATAATGTAAAAGAGCTGGGAACATAGCCAAGTGGTAGAGCTTCCCTGGGTTCAATCCCCAGTAAAAAACAAAAACAAAAACATCACACACACACAAAAAAAAAATAAATAAAAACTATCATTTGTTACCCTCCGATTTCTTTGATCAGAATTGAGTTATATGTTTCTTCTTAAGCCAATTTCCAGCAAGGAGAATAAAATTCTCATGATTGATCAGATTATCAGGATCAGCGTGCTAGGGCTGGGGATAGGGCCAAATTCAGGAAAGTCCCTGTCGCCCCTAGGGAATGAGCGTGAGAGAGTAAACTGAGGCTCTGGGTAGGAAACCAAGGGTTTCTGTTACAGAGGCTGGAAATCTCATCCTGAAGAGACCCAGGAAAGTCTCTCCTCTCCCCTCCCAAGCTGTATGAGGATGGGAGCAAGAGACACAGGGGACAGGGGAAGGGAGAGAGCCAGGACCTCTCTGCCCAGAGCCAAGCAGCCCAAGAAAGTAAAGATCCCATTGATCTGAATGCTTAGTAGCCTGACGCCAGACATTTTGGAATGGCTCTGAAGGGCTTAGTTTGAGAGTTGTTGTATTTATGGTAACGATTTAATCTTCATTTGTTGTGGTATGTAGAGAGGGAAGGTGACAGCCTTTCCTTCTATCAGTGAGTTTAATCTTTTGCATATCATGAAAGTTTTCATAAATCTGCTTGAAATATGGATTTCTTCTCCAGGAAAAAAAAAAAAGCGCTGTGCACTTTCATTCAAATTCCACATGTAATTTGAGTAGTTTCCCTAATAACTGTACCCATTCATGGACTGCAAGGAATAGCCTTCTTGTCATCCTTGATTTGTGTAATAGAGGGGGAAGAAAACCCATAAGAGTTTAGGAATTTTTTTTTTTAAATGAAAGAGCAAAACCAGGAAATCTAATCTAACAAAATTTAGCTGTGTAACCTTATTTGAATATTTTTAGGGTCTGAATTTTACCTCTATAAAATGGGCTAGGAAGGTTGTTTCAAGAACCAAGTGGATAGCTGGACAGGTAGCACATGCTTGTAATCCCAGCAACTCTAGAGGCTGAGGCAGGAGGGTCACAAGTTTGAGACCAGCCTCAGCAAAGTAGTGAGGCCCTAAGCAACTTAATGAGATCCTGTCTCAAAATAAAAAAAAATAAATAAAAAGGGCTGGGGATGTGGCTCCGTGGTAAAGAGCCCCTAGGTTGGCATCAAAACAAAACAAACAAACAACAATTTTTTTAAAAAGTGTATGCTGTGGAAGACTGTATTAAATTATATAGCACTTTACAAATGTTGGCTCGAAGTCTAATTACCAGTGAATTCAACAGGATGATGATTCTTGCTTTCCAACTGAATAGACTTTATTTGGATTCAAAATCGTGCACCCCTTGAGGACACGCCTGGAAGAGTTTTGAGAATCTAAGCAGTGGAAGTTTCCTTTTTCCCATAAGAAAATACCATCCTCAAACTCAGGGACCAAGTCCTGCACCCATTTTCAGCAACTGATTGAAAAGAGGCCCCAAATGAAACACCCCGGACCCACTGAAAGCCCCACTCTCACCAGCTCTTTGAAGTCAGGACAAGCTAATGTGGCTGGAAGACTGGGGAACAGGAGAGAGGCTGGAGCAGGCCTCTAGATGGGTGTTCCTTTCCCCTGTCTGACCCACCTCTGGGACTTCCTTGGCTACCCTGCCCACTGGCCCCTCCCAGCCCTCTGGTCCCCTCTGTGGATCATGACTTTCATGGCAGATGCCAACTCCCTCTCCCTCACCAGGGTCCCCATTTCTCCTTCTTCACCTCATCCTTTTCCCATTCTTACTTTCTCTCAACCACCTTCCTTTGTGGGGGGCCATCTGAGATTTCCATAATGTGCTTCCCTGTCCATCCTCGAGCCTTGACAGCCAGTCCCTCACCCTTGAAGAGCCCACTGGAGCGTCTCCATGGATCCATCAACAAGAGGTTACTGAAAGGGCAAAATCTCGGAGGCGCTGGGGTCCAGGACTGAGCAGAGCTGGCCCTCTCTTCACAGAGTGTGCAGTCAGAGATCTGTCCCCCCACCCCCAGCAGGAGTAGACAGCTGACTTGGGGAGTTAGGAGAATTCATGGGGGGAGAAAACCAGAAGATTCTGTTGGGCTACATCAATGTGACATGCCCACCACCAATAATAAAACAACAGGAAGTTATTCACAGGCTACAGGGCTGTGGTGGGGGGTTCAGTTCCCAGTTTCTTCCGTAGCCATCAACACCCAACCCTGTGCATGTCCAAATAAGCGAGCAGTACCTCTGGTGCAAGTATTCTTCTTATCCCTTGAACTCCCAGGCCCTGGCCTCGTGCACCAGCTGAACTTGGAAAAACTATTGTGGAGTGATTTTTCGGGTTTTTCCATCCATCCAGAGGGGGTGCCGATATTGGGAAGAGGTGCTAGGGGGAGGCAGAGCAGCCAAATCATGCAAAGCATAGGACGAGGGCAGATGGGAGAGGAACTCACTCCTAGCCTCAGCATCCATTTACTCCAGAGTTACTAACAAAAATCGCTTGTCTCCTCAGCAGGGCAGCTCAGGGCTCCCTCTAGACTTGCACTGCCTTGGGAAGGGAGGGAGAAGGGAGATCTACCACAAATGGAGCCTCTTTCCCCGCCTCACCCAATTGCTTCTGGCTTGAATAGTTCCCTGGGAACGCACCAGCTCCCTGGCTAATGGTTACACAAATACACAGATTATTGTCCTAACAAACAACCACGTTCATCTTCAGAACCACTTTCCCAAGCTGTGCACCGAGTCTTTGTGGACTCTAATCTGGGCCTCGCTAAGTGGCCCTCTGTGCCTCTCCTTTTCGGGTCTTTGTTTCACCTTAGATCTGGGATAAGTTGAAAGTGTTCAGTGACCTACAGGATTCTGCTGGCTTTAACCTATGAAGAAGGCTTCTAATTATCGACTTGCTTGTGATTGCCCCTGCCTGGCAGGTTTGGGAGAGGCTCTGGATTTGTCCTTGTTATTCTCTGGTCCTTGGGGGCTTTTGGGAGCTTTCCTCTTCCATCTCTGCTTCATTGCTCTAGATTTGGATTTAACACATCCAACTCAGAAGTATCACTCTAACTTATCAGTATCAGGACCCTACTTAGTTTTCCAGTATTCTTCATTTTTCCACCTCTCAATTATGACATTTTCGGATCTGCTTAGTGCCCGAGATATAAATGTGATTTGTAAGTCACAGAACCTGTCTGTATTTGGGTCCCACTGCTGCTCCTCGCTAGCTGTGTGACTCTCGGTTAATCTCTTTGATTATCTGTCTGTTCCTTTGTCTAGAATAAATGCATTTCTCCTTTCTCTTTGAGAGATGTGTTTTGAAGACGAAATGAGGTCATGGATAAAAGACAGCACTGAAAACCAGCATAAAAATATCAATTTCCATGTGTGAAGGGTTACTCTGTGCCAGACACCAGGCCAGGCTCTGTCGGCACAATTTTATTCCATCCTCATGACAATGCAATAAGGAATGGTGTCATTACTCGCCACGTAATGTCCACATGAGTAACTGGAGCTGTAGAGAAGGCACATAATTGGCCTGGGTATCACACAGTATATAAAAGCGGAAGAGCCAGGATTTGAACTAAGACTCTACCACACTGCCTCCATGCAAAACACGTTCATAAATATTTGCTGATCTGGTTTCTTCATCAATAAAGAAATAGTATGAAAAAGACATGGAAACAAATAAGAATCAACCAAGAAGCCACAGAAAATAATGAGACCAAATATAACTGGGCGAAATGACTGACTCAGATCTCCTGATATAAATTATCTCACCAGAGAATAATCCAGAGACAAAACACAGCATGAGCCTGTGTAGTTCTCATCCATGCTGAAACAACTGGGAAAAAAAAGTAATCCTGGGTTGCAGAAACTTGATTATTGACTTTGGCAATGCTTTCGCCATCTCTTTGTGCCATTAAAGTTATTAGAATTGAATTGAGAGAGGCAGATGCACAAGATGAGCTGAAACAAAGATGCTGAGCAGTTGAAATCAATGACCCGCGGAGCTGACTCCCTGCCAAAGGCTACAACAGCTCCTGAGAGGAATCCACCGCTCTGGCGAGTGACCAGGCTCTGCGGAAGCTGCTCGTTTGATTTCTGGAGGGAACTTCCAGGTGGCTGGGGACTAACTGCTGTGGAAAGAAGGAAAAGGGAGCCCTTCTCATTACTAAGAACCACACAACCAGCACCCACCAGTGTTGAGCACATCCTCCCCAGGTTATAGAAAAGGAAGAGGAGACTCTAGAAAGGGAGGGTGGAGGAGAATGCAGTGTGATTCACAATTTGTTTGTGACAGGAAGAAAAAGTGGCTTAATAATCTGCAGCCAGATGGATGGAATATTCCTTCTCCCCCACCCCCAGAGTTGGTCCTCTGGTGCCATCACCCACAAAATGGGAGGCAACTGGAGGAGTCATAGAGCTAATTTACAAATCTGCCCCCAAGTGTGTGCCAGAACCTATCTCCCCAGGACTGCAAAGATGAACAATGATTAGACACTGGCTTAATGAGGATGCTTTGAAAGTCACTGTGACTGCTTGGCATCTCGTCTAGACACTGGTGCCTTCTCAATCCACTGCCTCCTCTCACTCTCCTGTCGTGAGAGTCTTCCTTCCATCCCTGCTTTCTATCATCCATCAGCCATTCAAGGTTCGTGTCCAAATCATTATGAGAATGATGGCATCTGTGTAAGTTGGTGTGACAATTCTAGCAAGGATGTGGACGTTGGGTTAGTTGAGTTATATATTTGTTTCTTCATGTGCATTTTTCATGATAATAATAATAGCTAATATTTATGGAGCATTTACTATGTGCCAGGAACTCTTTCAAGCACTTCAAGTGCTTAAGAAATCCGAGAGGAACAAACCTATCATCACTGATACTAGAGGTGCTCCAACAATCCTACCATGCAACACACAGTCCAAAGCTCCACCAACTTGCCCAGAGTTTGTAGTCAGTGTAAGAGCTTCCAACCAAATTGATAGTTGTTCATTCTTAGTCATGATCAGATATTCCAATATCACTGAACATGTGAGGAGAGCTGATAATATGGAAGATAAATACCAAAACAAACAATGGACAAACAGAAATCAAAGCATTGTGTAGAGGAATGAGAATACACAGGGAGAGGAGAATTAAAGTGCATGCATATTATATGTGTAAGAGATAATAAAGGATGCTACATGCAAGAAAAGAGAACATGATGAAACAAGAAAGGAACATGCAGAGGCCATCAGGGAGTTCTTAGGAATTAAAAAGTCTTCCAGAAAGTAGAGTAAAAGGTCAAAGAGATGTAAAACTGAAGAGAAAATAAAATAAAACTATAAGACTGGTCTAAGAAGTCAATATCTAAATCATAAGAGTTCACAGAAGAGAAAATAGCAAGGACATAATAATAATAAATGATTCCAAAGAAATTCCCAGAAATGAAAGACAAGCATTTTGAGTTTCAAAGAATACACCAAATGCTCGACAGTTCAAATACAGATAGATCCAAATTAAGGCATCTCATTAGAAATTTCCCAAAAGCCGGGGCGAGGGGGGTCAGTAGGGTATATGATAAATAGTCTATGAAAATTCAGAGAATGGAAAAAAAATCACATACAAAGAATAAAAAATTAGACAGGCTTGGAGGTCCTCAACAACATCATTAGAAGCAAAAAGAAAATAAAGGCGATATATTCACAGTTATGAAGGAAAATGCTCTCCAACCTGTAATTCCATACCTAGCTCAACTATCAAACAAACATGAGGATAGAATAAAGACATTTTTTAGACATGCAAAGTCTAAAAACTTATTTCCCATGCAGCTTTTCTCAAGAAAGGGAAAGATATAACAACAGAAATTCTGACACTGGAGAGAGGTAAAGGGCATTTCTAGGAGGACAGTAAGAAAGAGATCCCAAATGCTATGGTACACCAATGATAGAAGACGACCACCCAGATCAGTACAATACCACTCAGGAGACAGACATGGTGGAGCCTAACACCTCTGAGATGCCCAGAAGGACTGTATTGTCTTTTCAACCCAAGGTCAGAATACCCAGGTAAGGTTGGCCCATATTCTTCACCATATGCTGCTTTCAAACTTTGACTTACCATCTAGATCAGTTTGTTCACTCTCACAGAACCACTGTGCTGTGACCTACTCCTAAGAATGTAAGTGAGCCAAGGTGAACTTGAAAGCAGAGTAGATGTCATTCCAAGGTATGCACGGAGGCTGGTTCTCCAGTTCTTAGGAAAAATCAAATTGATTAGCAAAGTAAAATCTCATGAATCTGAATGTAAAGCAACAGGATCTTTAAAAATTGATGATAATCACAAATTATGAAATTATTTTTAAAGAAACATACTTATATTCAGGAATCTGCCTTAACTCAAACTAGACCAAAAAAAAGGAGTGGGGGTTCCTATAATAAAAGTCAGTGAGTAGAGGAGTGATGTGTTATATACATAACAATTATCAACATATTAATAGATACTTCTCAAGTATTGTGGGTTCTTAAAAGTGGTAGTTCTTTCAGTGTTTTAAGCATTCCTCATAGAATTGAATTTTCTTTAAAAATCCTGTAGAACCAGAGCACTCATGCACTTTAAGTATCTAAATTGCATAAACACTTCGGCAGTATTTACTAAAATAAAATAAATGTCTACCCTAGGACCTGTCAATCACATCTTCAAGTATGTACTCATAGAGTATGCTATGACCCTCAATACACACACACACAAGAATATTCATGTAAACACTATTCATTTTAGTCCCAAACTGGGAAAAAAAAAATCCTAGTATCTATTAACAGGTAGAAACATTGGTAGATTTGTACAATGGAATACTTCACAAACAAACAAAACAAACAAGCAAACTTGAACCACTACATACAACAAAAAATATTGTTGAGGGAGAAAGAAATCAGACTCCAAAGAACGTATGCTGTACAATCCCCATTAAAAGAAGGCCAAGGGCAGGCAGAATTATATTGCGGTAGAAGGTGGTTATTCTCAGGTAGGTTTGACTGGGTGAGGCTATGCTAGTGTGCTAGGAATACTCTATACATTGGACATATGTAAAACTTCACCAAGCTGTAACTTTCTGTGTCCTTCACCTCAGCGGTTATACCTTCCAACACCACCACCGTGGAACTCAGTTCTAATAAAACAGCACAAAAGAAGCACTATGAATTATAACAAAAAAAATATTTAAGATGGAGTTCTTTCCCTGGAAGAGATTGAAGGTTAACCTCAGAAGGCAAGACATACACTCCACTCCAATGAGTATAATGTAGAACAAGGTGTGGAGGTGCTAGGTGAATGGCCCAGGTGAAGGCTGCAGAGGTATGGAACAGGGAGGGAACATGGAGCTCAGACCTGAGCTGAGCTTGGAACATTCTTTTGCATGCTTGCTCCACCCATTTCCTCTCTCCTGTAAATCTATCTCCTCTACCAACTATTTCTGCTTAAATCCCCTCAACTGAATTCTCTTACCCAGTCCGCTGCTAAGCAACTCCTTCCCTTCTAGCTGAGCTCCTGGCTAGAACTGTCCAACTATTGTCACCACTTCCCTGACTCATGGCCTTCCAGTCTCTGCACCTCCCTACAGGGTCTTCTACCAGCCAGTAAGTACCCAGATGCCAGATCGCCTGCTTCTTCCCTGTGTTCCTTGACCTCTATGTCACACTTCCTCTTTCTTCCAAAGTCATCCTGCCTCTGTTTTCTGGTAAGACTATTTCCCCCTCTCTTTGCTTGCTCTTCTTGGTGGCTTCATTTTCCTTCGCCCTGGGAATTCCCTGGACTGGCCTCTTCTGTTTATGTCTCAGGCCCTCCTTTGGCCAGTGTCATGTCAGTGCAGGCTGCTATAACAAAATACTACTTATAAACAGCAGGAATCTACTGCTCACAGTTCCAAGGTCAAAGTGCCAGCAGATTCCGTGTCTGGTAGAGAGGACCTGTTTCTCATAGATAGCGCCTTCCATGTGTCCTCACAGGGCGCAAAGGAAGAGGAGTCCCTCAGACCTCTTTTATAAGAGCACTGATTCCTTTCACAATCTAATCACTTCCAAAGGGCCCCACCCCCTCATACTGTCAGGTTGGGGGTTAGATTTCAACCTATGAACTTGGGAGGGGCACAGACATTCAGACCTCCGCAGCCAGCTTTCAGCTCTATCTGCTGATGTCCCTGGGACCTGGGATCTCCAGATCACACTACTCTCTTGAACTTGGATCTGGATGGGAGATTCTGTTTGGCTGTCTCATTTAAAGAGCAAGTGGAACATATCAAAACACCTATATTTTCTCTATCCTACCTATACTTCTTGTATCATTCATTGCCATTCAGTGTATGGTACCTTCATCCATCTGGAGAAGCCATCCCTAATCTCTCCCTCTTTTCTCGACCCCTCACATGCCATGGACAACCAAGGCCTCCCGGTCCTACCTTTCAAAGAACTCAAATCTGTCCACACACCTTACACCTCTCCATGCTTTATTTCAGTCCTGGATTTCTCTCTCAGATATTTCCAGAGTCAATCTAGTCATCTGCCTGTCTCTAGGCTCACTCTCAGCTAGTCCACTGATGACATCTCCCTAAAGCAGGCACCTGATCATGCTTCTTCCCAGCTTCCTTCCAGGACCAGTGCCTGGCTCTTTAGCCTAGACCACCACCCGCAGTGGCTTCCTTGTCTTCTCTTCTTTCCAGACTCATCTTCTGCTCCTCCCTCTCGGGCAGTCTGAGCTCCACCCCCATAGTGAATCCTAGTTCTCTTAATGGTCCCCATTCTCATGGTGACTGAGACCCTCTCCTCACCTTTTCATCTCCATCCAAGAACTCTTGGCGGTTCTTCTAATGGCAACTCCTGCTGATGGAAACAGACCCTCTGTCCTCTCCAGTGGGACAACCTGCAAACACTATTGGAGCTGTTGGTCTATTATTCACAGTGGATAAACTCTCAAAAGGCAGCTATTTGTCTTCTTCTTTCTTGTATCCTAAGCCAATGGCTCAGGGTTGGTGCTCAAAAATGTTTTCTCATAAATGACTAAATTTTCAGTTGTTGGGTACACAGATCTTTTTCTTTTCTTTTTCTCCTTAAAGACACATAGCTCAGCAGCCGAATTTCTAGCCACTGTCACTGTTTCTATTTCTGAATGTAATTGCTAATGCACAAAACTACTCAGGGTAACAACTACAGTTGGTGGAATGGTCCAGCGACTCTTATGAGAGTGCTTCATGCTCTTGTGAAATAGCTGCAGTTTGAAAAGGGTGTAGACCTTTGGAGAATTAGACAGGAAAAAACAATCTGTACCTGGGAGAACAAACCCCCCTTCTAGAAAGCCCTTTTCTCCAGGAATGTCCCTCGCCACCACTACCATTCATTGCACTGGACTGTACTGGAAAATCACAAATCTAAGAACTCCCCAAGGACAAACCCATGGACGTAAGTTGCTGCATGAGCCAGAACCCATGGCCTGAGGGGACTGTTCTTTCCTCCGGCTACGCAAAAATGCTGGATGACCTTCCTGGTGGCACTCTCAGAGGGTCATGGTGCACCCCACACCGAAGCTAGCCAACCATGTAAGTACCTGAAACTTTTTATGCGTGCCTTCTATGGTCACATTTCCCTCCCTCTTGGCCAATGAGTTCCGTGAGTTTATTACTGGTTGGAAACAAAATAGCATTTCTTTTCATGAACCTAAAAGTCCTTTGGCTCAAATGTCTTGGAGCCTTTGCACAACCTATAACACTGGGATTGCACGCACAAAGTACTGCTCCCCCAGCCATCTGGGCCCTTTGGGACTTTCTGGACAGCTCCAGCAGCAGCAGCCCCTTTTGGCCTTCAGCTTTCCAGACTGAAGTAAATATATGATGTCTGGAAAGAGGCCCTGAACATAATAAATATTGAATAATGATTATGGAGCTGAATCATGATAAGAGCTGCCTTTAAACGAGGATTTAAATTCTTGCCATGAGTCTGAGATGTGAGAATTAACTAATAAATCATTGCAAGCAGAGCTGAGTGAAACAAATGAATGTGCTTGGGTCCCCTCAGTAGAGGGACACGTAATCATTTGTCCTCAGATCTTCTCCCATTTGTTCTTGTTTCCAAGTGAGAAATAGTCCCTCCGCGTGCATGACAGCCTGCCTTTGTGAGATGGCGGGGCGCCGTGCTGGGCCTTTCTGAGGACAGGATGCTTGTGCAGGGATGCTGGCCATCCTGTGAGGAGGAGGAAGGAGGGAAGGAAGGGGGGAGAGAGAAAGAGCTCTCTTATGCCAGGCACTGTTCCAGGTGTTTCACATGGACGGTGTCCTTTATATTGCACAACAATCCTGTGAAAGAGATTGGGATCCGTGTTATACGGATGGGAAAACAAAGGCCCAAAGAGTTTGGGTAACTCCCAGGATGCTAGGAGCAGTGAGTTGGGACTTCAAAGCCAGATCTGTTGGACCTGTGTTAAGGATACCACTCCAGGTCCTTTACCTAAGGGACCCTGCACCCCATACGACCCTCCCACCCTCATATTGCCATGATTCTTGCCCTTGCTCAGAGCAATAGTACTGTCCCACAGACAGCCTAGTCCATCTCCTTCAACTTTTTTTTTTTCCTGTTTATTTTTTGTACAATTTTGAGACAGGCTCTCACTTATTCGTCCAGGCTAACCTTGAACTTGTGATTTTCCTGCCTCAGCCTCCCATCCTGCAGAGGGGAGGCCCCTCCTGGGCCTGGAGGGGCCACAGGAGCTATCTGGTGCCCCTCCTTTCCTGTTTCCTCCTTCCCTTGTCTCCCTACAGGAAGCACCACGACAAGATGGTGGCGGTGACTCACTGCTAGAAGAATAAAATCTTGAGTGGGGGCTGCCTGAGTGGCTGGATACTGTGACAATGGAAGAATGTCCCCTGAGCTCACAAAGGGCGTTGCCACCCACAGCTGTAAGACAAAGGCAACAGCCACAGCCGAGTGTGTGTGGGGTGGGGGTGTGGGGGGGCAGACCAAAGGAAAGGGGGAGTGGAAAAGAGATCTTAGTACTTTCCAAGATAAAAAAAGGAGGAACAAAGGGGGTTACAGACATATCTGCAGCTAAAAATAGCTGTTTGCAGTGTCAGGCGAATTCTGTGTGTTTCATTCACTCCTGTTTGTATTTAGCAGATGAACCTGGCCTTTACTTATGACGCACATTTTCCACCAGGCCAGGCATGCCACCCCCGCCCCCAGACTCCTGCATGGTTTAACCTGGGAGATGTGTGAGGCAGTCTGCCCAAGCGCAGGCTCTGTAAGGCAGCTGGGTTCTGTCCCAGGTGGGTTCTCGCCCCTGCTAAGTAACAGATGAGATGTGTCTGCTGCTGCTTGCTCCTCCCCAAACCTCTCCTCATCCTAGGGCACGACCAATGGCCAAGAGAGAGGACCGAGACAAGCAGGCACATTTAGGCACTGGTGAACTCACCAGACAGATTGTCATCCAGAGGGCTCTGGCAGCCTGTGTCCTCCCCACTCCTTAAGGACCACTATCCCTGGGTGGTATGGCAGGAGCAAAGCCAGGTTCTAAACTGGGGGAAGGGAACTCAGGGGTGACCAGGCCAGAGGAGGAGGCCTGAGGCTATGATTAGGAGCAAATGCCTTAAAAGATGCTACCTTCCCTGGGTATCTGTTCTTTGACCACTGCTAAGGATTGAATTGTGTCCCTCCAAAATCCATATGTAGAACGCAAACCCCAGTACGACTATTTGGAGACATGACCTGCGAGGCAGTAATAAAGGCTAAATGAGGTCCTAAGGGTGGACCCTGATCCAACAGGACAGGTGTTCTCATAAAAAGAGACACCGGAGAGCCGCTTCCGCTCTCTGCCACAGGGGGACACGGAGCCAAGGCACTGTTGGCAGGCCAGCCACCAGGAGCTCAGTCAGCCTGAACCTTGATCTTGGACTTCCCAAGCTCCAGATCTGTGAGGAATAAGTGCCTGTTTAAACCACCTAGTGTTTGGTCCTTTCTGTTTCACATTTATAGGTTCCACAAGGGTGGATTCAAACAACTGTGGATCAAAAATATTTGGGGGAAAAAAATTCATCTGCACTGAATATATACAGACATTTTTTGTTGTTGTGATTCCTGAAACAAGAGAGTATAACAATTATTTACATAGCATTTATATTCAGTATTGTAAGTAGTTTAGAGAAGATTTAAATTATACGTGGATATGCAGATACTATGCTGTTTTATATAAGGGACCTGAGTCTCGGAGGATTTGAGTATCTGAGGGGAGTTCTGGAATCAAGACCCCCTGCATACAGAGGGAGGAACTGCATTTTTGTCATGGCAGCCTGAGCAGACTGGTACCAACACCAAGGTGTCATTTGCTAACTGACCAAACTGATCCTTGTCTTCCCTCTATTTCTAGCAATAAGTTTTTATCCCCATCTAAGCAACCGTCATGCCACAAAATGAATGACCTTGTAGAGATTGTCACCAAGCAGCCATTCCAGAAGGATCTGCTCGGGGCAGGGATTCCTCAGTCTGCCTCTCCCTGGCCACAATTCTGGGGAAGGGTGTAGCCATCTCATGGAATCTAGTCCCAGCCTTGCTGCGTGTGAGAAAAGGAGGTGCTCTGGAAACTGGATATCCCAACCATGACAGTGACATCCTGGGAACTGGCCTCACCCAAGCCAGTATCTGTGCCAGCACTAGAGTCCTGACAGTGCCCCCACCTCAGACAGCTAGGCTCACAGGCCACACGGTGTCCCTCTCTGCAAAAACCCTGAAGGAGGAAGCAGCTCACAAAGAATTCAGAGTTTTGACATGAAGTCCTTAGAAAAATGCCCTTTTATCCAGATCTTAAGGAACTAGATATAGAGAAATTTGCTTAACACGCTAGGTTACGAAAAGGTATCTCAGTAGAAGTCTGTTAACTAGACTTTTCTTGTTTCCTAACAAAAATATGAGGTTTTTAAAAAATTAGAGCTTTACTTAAATTCCTTAAGCACATCTATATTCTGTGAAATAACGGAGTGTGGGGATTTGAAACAAATGTTGGAAGAGATTTCATGAAAACAAGTCTACCCTTCGGCCTCAGGAATGACTAGATGGGGGCCACCTCAGTGACCCACAAAGAACAAAGACGGGGAGACTGGGGTAGGGTGATATATTCAAGGAAGCTTAATGCTTGCTGTTTTGTGGTTCTAGCGAGAACCTCTTGACATCCTTTGAACCCAAGTGTCCGATTTCAACAGCAACCATCAGCATTTGTCACCCACAATTCAGTGTGGGCTGGAGCCTCCTAATCCATCTACTTGGACCTTGCCACTACCTCTGCTTAGGGCCACTAATTGCCTAAAACATTATCTGTTGCTGCACTCACATAGTGCCCCAAGACCCCAAAGGTGTATTCTCCTCCCTTTCTCAGCACAAAGCTGCTGTGAGGAGATACCACCCTATGCCTCCATGACAGTGCTGTGTGAACTGGCCCTTCCCTCCCTCTGCCTCGTTTTCTTCTTGGATCCCAGACACAAATAAGAATAAAGCCTATTTACATGTCTAGGTCATTTCTAAGCTCCAGTGCCTACAAAATATCCTAGTATTGAGAATACAAGTCTGTCATTATGGTATTTGCAGAACCAAAGACTGTATTTAAGGCTTCAGAATGATGCTTATTATAACCCTTTCCTGGACTCCCATGCCAAGAACATGACATGAATAGTCTTTTTCAAGGAAATTTGCCAGGAAAGGCAGAATGTATCTGATCACATAGGAAGTGTTTGGGGTTGGCTTCACGCTCTAGTCTAGGGAGAAGGAAATTTTCCAGGGACTGCGGTAAGAAAGGAGAATCCACCCAGGACTGTGCATCATGCAAAAGCTCAAGAGGCTGCCAACCCTTTATGGTGGGGAGAGCAGCCATTACACCCTGAGTGCTGGGGCAGCCCTGATGTCATCCACAGGAAGTGGGTGAATGAAAGATTAATGGCAAGGGACGTAGATGGATGAGGGTTCTTAGATCTTCTAGAGGAAAGCAAGTAGATACATAAGTGTAGCACATAGAACTCTAAAAGGAGTCATGTTGGGGTGGGGACAGCAGAGGCACTCACTCCAGTGAAGTTCCCATTTTCTAAAAACACTTCCAAATACATATCCACTACTCAATCGCCCCAAATAACCTTCCATTTTGAATTTCACCTTAAAAAAAAAAACTCAAGCAATTAGAAAGATGACATCCCACATCATTATTATCACCATAATCCATTACCTGATTTTAAAAAAGGCATTGTATCTTCTTGTGATTATTAAAGCAAAACCTGCTATTACCTTGCCTGTGGGGAGGAAAGGAAGTTATCCGCATGAAGTTGTGTGCCAGGGAGAGGGATCTGGAGG